GTACTTACGTGTTCTGCATAGTACTGTACTCAAAAACCAAGCCAAATTCATTCTGGGCACTCTGCTGCAGTTCTGATAAGCAGCTCAGGACACTGAGTGGAATTCCAGTTCAAGGTTCTCCTTCTCTTATCCACTGGATCATAGTATGATCTCCCTGAATACCACACTATATAGTATAAATCAAGGAAAGCAAATAAGAGCCTTCTGCCACCTACCTGGTTACAAGACTGTTAGGTTTTAGAACAAGGGTCACAAATGAACCCACAGGCCAATGCCAAGACACAGAAGTGTTCTGTTTGGCTTGCACAGTGTTTATAAACAACATCTATCATTGCTATCACTTAAAAGATAGTATTTTCACATTAACAACAACAAACCCTGAGATTCTGGGCTCCTTTTATTAACATCTGGATATCTGGCAACACCAGCCCCATATTATCTAATGGAAAGTAACTCTGTAGCTGTATAGTAGCTGCTGCCTTTAGATGAAGCCCATATATGCTAGTTCATTACAGTCCCTACCATTTCCTATGGTATCAAGTCAGATTCACTCCTTTTCAGTACTTGCCTGGCTCTGTGAATATCTGCATTTGCTACAAGGTTTAATTAGAAAGCAAACTGTAAGTAGGTAACCTGCTCTCCAATGTCAGGCTGAAGAGACTGCTCTGACATCAGATAACCTCAGCACACAAGGACACTCAGATGCTCTCTTCCATGTGAGTGATCTGCTTAGACCACTATGAATAGTTACCTATTCACAACTCTCTGCCAATCCTGGACTCCTGAACACGTCCTGATACTCTGAACCGAATTCCTACTTTTTGCCTCTGCTTGGCAGAGTGACCTGAGGTCTGCCCTGATTGTGCCCTGACTGATCAGTACAACCGCAGTGACTTCAGAAGAAGGATGAGTGCTTCATCTCTTGATACAAATAACCTATTTTAGCTTTTTCACACCCAATTCGTTTCCATGTAGTGTCATGATTCAGATTCCATAGTGGAACTAAATTTCTGCAAGCTATCCATCAGGATGAATGGGCTCAGTGTGTGATGTTAAATAATGATAATAAAAGTTCAAGTACTTTAGTCATAGTAAATTGATTATAGCCCTACTTCTAGCCTGGGCTAGGGCTCAGTGATTTCTAGTTTAGAGATAATCCAACAACAACTTAGCCTACATAAACAATATGGTCTTTTCTTACACAACAACAAAAAAAATTAATGTTGATTTTCTTTTCAGGCTTATATTTGCCATATCCACTATCAGCAGGAAATCAGTGCTATTTAACCCTTCAATTCAGTGGGATCCAACAATTTGCCTCCATATTTTTGTATGATGCTACTGAAGGGGTTCCTAGCTCTAGGATTTTAACTTCACTATATTCTATATAAAACTGGCTTATTGTTCTAAGTGACCAATTCAAACACACATCACATTTGAAAGTAAGCCTCTCCTCTCCCCCAAAATACTATATTCTTAGTTTCTGAGCTTCTTGTTCAGAGAATGAAAATTTTAGTATACAATTCAAACCTTTTCTTTGGCTACTTCTTTATGAAGTATGGTTTTTACAGAAAACAGAAGCAAAAACAAAAACATAGCCTTCTTAGCATCACATTGTTAAGTTCACTAATTCTTAGGACAGAAATAAAGACAGGAATACACATGCAGCACTTTTCACCACACTCTAAGAAAATTAAGAGCAGCAGCACCTAATGACTAGCTGTTCGTTAAGAGAAAGTATACAATTATAAAACCATCTTTCTTCAGTTCGGTAACTGTTGTGAATACTTGCACTTTGATAATTTCTGTAATCTCCTCTTTATGATGGGGATGATTTCTCCCCACAAATACACCAGTTGAGAAGTTCAGGGGTACACAACTGAACACAGTGGAACAGACATAAGAAAGCTGGTCTATGCCTGATCTGTAAAGTACTGAGTATGGACTGTTTCCTGTCATACAGACTTCAGAAGAAGAAGATCTGTATTAAATTTCTCATCTGGTCTACATGAGCTCATGCTGGATTTCTACCACCTCCAAAATAAGAATAGTAACAAATACAGAAATACTTTTTGTTTTTATGTTAGTGATTCATCTGACCCTTTGATTTACCTCAACCAAAAGTAAAATCCAGACTCTAAAATCAGGCTTCATCTTCAGAATAAATACACTCTATCCCCTGTAAGAACCATATGAATTTACAGTACAATATTAAGGGAAATCATATAACTGAATATTGAATGGCTTTTTCATTTTAACATAAAATAATTCTATTAGTGGGTAAAATAGGCACACTTGGTAATATGAACTTATGAACAGATGATGGCTTCATCATAGTGTAACGAAATTTCACTGTAGCAAATCAATAGGGTACGCAGTCAAACTCCATGCTATCTCAATATTTTAAAGCTCTACTTTCCCTTTAATTTGCTTGAAATGATAAGGTAAAACTAGTAATGCTGGTGAAGAGTATCCTAACCCTAGGAATTCAGGAGGTTTATTTTTGTAGTTAGACTCTCAATTATAGGCCTAGTAATTAGATGAGGAGCATTGAAATGCAAATAATACATAAAGCAGCACCTATGGCAAACTTCCTTTGAAAAGCAAAGCCAAAGGTTACAACAACTTTAGGAACGTAGATCTTAAAACCCTCAGCAAGTATTCTGGATTGTTTCTGGTGTGCTGGTAGGTTTCTGTTTTTGTTTTTTGGCTGTTGCTTTGTGTTACACAAGAGTTTCTTCTTTTGGTCCTTGTTTTACTCTTTTTGCATGAACTCTAAAGATCCAGAAAGACATAGTGTTGCAATGTAGATATTTTATCTATAGAAGAGACATCACTTCACAGTAATGTTGGGGTTAAAAAACTACAGTACTGGCAAATAGAGTCCACCCTTCTCTTAACTTACTGTCAAGGAAAATAAGAACAGCATATAAAGTTAAAATTCTTAAAATAAAAAATATGGTAATTTGATACTGAAGAGATAAATATGAGATTCTGAGCCAACAAATATTTTTTTCCTTTGACTCTCAAGAATATGAGCAGAGGTAACATCAATTGCAAATAAACAGGAAGACTGCTGAAACTGATAAGGCACAACAAATTAAAACAAAAACACTAACTGTAAATTGTGGATTAAGGTGATTATATAAATCATGTACTTTCATATGCTTTTGAACTTGGCTCTAAATGAGCTGAAAGAGAGTTTTAACTGGAATACTTAAAGGAGGTCCTGAGTATGTGCTGCAAGGGTTTCTTAGAAGACTGCTTACTAGTCTAACAGAGCACAGTAATTGCCAAAATCAAATTATGCTTGGTAATCACAAATCTAATATATATATTTTCCACAACAGGACTGTAGAGAAACTGACAGAAATTGATGACTTCCATTCTTACCTGGACTTTACAACCCTTGGGTAAAGAATGTAGAACCAGTAAACTGGATACTAAGTTTTTAATGAAGTATAAAAATCCTATGTTTTACTTAGAGAAAAAGAAAATAATTTTCTTCTTTAGATGGACTGTGTAGGCCAGGAACAGTGGCTCACACCTGTAATCCCAACATTTGGGGAAGTCGAGGTGGGAAGACCACTGAGACCCTTTCTCTACAAAAAATAAAAAATTAGCTAGGCACAGTTGTGCACACCTATGGTCCCAGCTACTCAGAAGGCTGAGGCGGGCGAATCACTTGAGCCTGGGAGTTTGAGGCTGGGGTGAGCTAGGGTCACACCACTGCACTCCAGCTTGAGTGACAGAGCAAGACCACGTCTCCAAAAAAAAAAAAAAGATGAAATTTATTTTTAAAAATTCTCTAACCTTTTCTATGGTCAATAGTTTATATTCTACTAAATCATACTTATGACTATTATCAAAATTAGTATCTAATATTATTTACTAATTAGTACAATATGCAGGCAAACTTGTACAAAGAGTCTGTCTTCTCTCTACGCACTTATAAATATCATTAACTCTCTGAACAACATCAAATTAGGAAGTTAGAAATTTTTCTTACACGAGATTGCAATTAAACAACCGTAGGTTCAAATACAGGGCAGAGGAAGGCAGCCAAATCTTAAATCACAACCAAATCCTCATCTATGATGAACCTAGGCCTTTGTCTTAAAGCTTCCTTTTCAGAACTTGCTCCCTAGTCCTTTGCTTTCTCTCACACCAACCACAGCCGAGTGACTTGGATGCTACTTCTCTGCAAAGCAGTTTCAAGCCTCTCCCCAAAACAGCTGTTTCCCAGGCCACACTTTGCCTGCATCATATTTTAAGGAATGTCATATATGCTGTTCTAAATGGATTCTGGGTCTCTTCTGGACAGCCTAACTCTGAAGGTGCCTGAGAGCAACTGCTAACATAAAGAAAATGAAACACCCTTTAGTGCAGCATGGTTAATATGCAGTGCTACCTACAGAATATTATCGCCTCAGCCTCCCGAATAGCTAGGATTACAGGCACGTGCCACCATGCCTGGTTAATTTTTGTATATTTTTGTGGAGATGGGGTTTCACCATGTTGGCCAGGCTCATCTCAAACTCCTAATCTCAGGTGATCTGCCCACCTCGGTCTCCCAAAGAGCTGGAATTACAGTGTGAGCCACCATGTCCAGCCAAGGGACAGAACCTTGAAGCCATTTGCTAGGGTGTTTGTAGAATGGAGTGGTGACTAATTTGCAGCCCTAATATTGCATATTAGACAATTTATATGAGAGTCTTTCATTCCAATAACATTATTAAATAAAAGTGATTTTTTCCCAGAGTTTAATTCACTTATAATAATTTTACTGTATATGAAAAACTCACTTCTAAATAACTTTTGAAATTACTATTTTAGCTTTTAGGAAACAAAATAGTTCAATGGAACTTCATATAAGAAATATTTTTAGTAGAATTCATCATGTAAACAAAATGCTAACAAACCAGTCATACAAATACTGAGTTAAATAATTACTTAAAAAGCTTACTTATAGTCTCAGACTGATAATCATATATTTTTACCTTGAGGAGATATGTGGGGATATTGCTGAAATCCACTGGCAACTTCAAAAGAAAACGAGCTGAAAATTCACCAGTCTGTAAAAAGAAGGTTGTAATAATAAGATTAAAATCAAAAATAGATTATGAAGTGACAATTATAGCCAAGGCCACAAGTTCAACCTGTTCAAAACATTAGGCAAGAAAAGAAGGTTGGAAAAGTAGGGGAGGATCAAAAAGAGTTCTTAAATGATTAGTTATTATTTTTAATAACACAATTAGAATTTTTAAAATCTGGATTTTAAATGTACACTAAAATTATAATGTAGCAGTATTGCCTTTTTGTTTCGTAAAAGTATGAAAAGAATATATGAATGTATGATTTTTTTTTAATCTGAAACCATAAAGACAGACCTACCCATTTGATACATTTGTTTTTATTAAACCATTCAGACCACTTCACTAATATTTATAAACAAGGCTGAAGGCATACACCACCATCCTTTCTGTAGTATGTCTGGAACTATATGCAAAGGTCAGACTTCTACCTATCAGTGGGTATCCAAAATAAGTTTCCCATCTCTGGACAGTCCACTATATGATTATCGATAACTGACGTTTTTTCATAATTCCCTCCAGGAACTAATCTCTATAGGAATGAGGTACAGAGGTTTGTCAATTTAAAACATTTAACTAAGCTATAAATAATAGCTTCTATTTGCCAAAACAGATAACTCATTTAAAAGAAAAACATTTGCCTCTCAACTTTTATGATAGAAAAAGCTAAGGAATCACATTTTTTTTAATTTTGTCATAGTCTAGAGGAGGAGTTTTCCAAGTAGGTCATGCCAAGATCTTGGCATGCTAGAGAACCTCTGTAAAGGCAACAAAGATGTGTCCTGAGCTGGTGGAATCCTGTCTTCCATTCTGTCTCACTGCAAGTGTGCAGCTCAGCCTGGTATTTTACTTAGACACATTTGAAAAAAGAACTCCAAAAATGATCCAGAACTACTGAAAGTGGATGTCTATCCTTTTCATATTGTAACTACCAAAGAGTTCCCACTCTTTAAAAACTGAGCAGCACAAACTCCCCCAAACACATCTTAAAACATAGCAAGTATTTACAAATATTTTTATGAGTGGGTGGATGAATGCACATAGGCACACATGCATAGCACTTCAGACAATTTCACAATAGTTGCCACTCCATTCTACAAACACCATAGCAAGTGGTTTCAAGGTTCTGAGCCTTGGTCAGGCATGGTGGCTCCTGCCTGTAATCCCAGCACTTTGGGATGCTGAGGCAGGTAGATCACCTGAGGTCGGGAGTTTGAGACCAGCATGGCCAACATGGTGAAACACCATCTCCACTAAAAAGTACAAAAATTAGCTGCGTGTGGTGGCACATGCCTGTAATCCCAGCTACTCAGGAGGCTGAGGCAGGAGAATTGCTTGAACCCAGGAGGCAGAGTTTGCAGTGAGGCCGTATTGCACCATTGCACTCCAGGCCAGGCAACAAAAGCGAAACTCCACCCCACCACCCCCCCGGAAAAAGGTCTGGCCCTAATTTTAAAACTCTGATCTAAAACCTTGAAAACGCAGACAGAAATATAAACCTTGGCTCTGAAGATAACAATGATAACTAATACCTGCCTAATTGTTTGTTTTACCGCTTACATTTTTTAACTTACATCAACCTCTGGCTAAGGACAGAGCATTTCTTCATTACCGTAACTCTAACCCTGTGACAGAAAAGGCAAAAATGAGAATTGAATGGACAGATTCAAAGCTGAAGCAAGCCGGTGTGTGAGTGACAGAAGCCACTATGCCACCAGAAATGCCAATGGTAAGAAACAGGACAGATGCTCAGATTCTCAGGATTGAATGCCATTATGTGCAGGCTACTCACAACTCAACACTTGGGAGAATACTTAAGAGCCACTAAGGATCTACAGATAGCTCATCATGGTGGGTGGGAGAAGGTTTGTGAGACCCTATTATAATTCTTGCCTTCTGTTGTATAGTCCAAGATTACCAAAAAGGTGTGGTTTTAGTATTATGTTAAGCTCCTACAGGTCTCTAAAACTAACATATTCTGTTAAGTGTGATTCTTTGGATCAAGACACAGCTGGACCTAAAAGGGTCTGTTTTTAAGTACAGGGGGTCATACTTTGAAAGAGGCAAGTGCAGAGGCAAAAATAATACCACAGAGTTAAATGAGAGTGTGTAAGAGAGACACCTAGCCAAGGGAGAGTTTGGGGCTGTAAAAGGAAAGACAGAAAAGTATTCCCTTAGTGCTGCGTACAGTGCTACAGAAGGACCACTCATCACAGTGGTCATACCTGTAATTCCAGCACTTTGCGAGGCTGAGGCGGGTGAATCACAAGGTCAGGAGTTAGAGACCAGCCTGGCCAATATGGTGAAATCACGTCTCTAATAAAAATACAACAATTAGACAGGCATGGTGCACATAGGCACACGTGCATAGCACTTTAGACAGTTTTGCAACAGCATGCCTTTATTCCCAGCTACTCAGGAGGCTGAGGCAGAAGAATCGCTTGAACCTGGGAAGCAGAAGTCACAGTAAGCCGAGATTGCACCACTGCACTCCAGCCTAGGTGACATAGTGTGACTCCGTCTCAAAAAAAAATGTTCCCAACAACTGTCCACATTCTTTCTCCTATAAAATCAATTTTTCCCTTGTTTACTCAATCACTCCCATCAGCACGTAAACATTTTTTAAATGTCTCCATTCACTTCGTATCCTTCTTCAGCTCCCATTTCATTTTTGTTTTACTTTAAAAAATAATTCCTTATAAAAAATTAATCTGTATTTCAGATCTACATTTCCTCATTTATTATTTTCTTAAGCCCTCTCCAGTCAGCCCTTCCCCAACACTACTCCACCAAAACAGGTCATCAATGACCACCCCATTGCCAAATTCAATGATCATTTCTTGGTCTTCATCTTAAGTATTCTCCCAGCAGCATTAGGACACCACTAGTCACTCCTTTCTTTTTTTACTTGGTAAAACATTCTTTACTTGGTTTCTAAAGTCCCAGTTTCTCTACCTCACTGGCCCTCCCTCTGGTCTCCTCAAGCCCTGAACATTGGAATTTGGGGTATGCCTGGGCTTAACTCTAAGATCCCTTTTCTTTATTTCATGCTCAGAGGATCTCATCCAGGCTCATGACTTTAAATAATATATATGCTGATGACTCCCAACTTGTGTATCTCCATCCCAGACCTTTTTTTAAATTCAAATTCCATTTATCGAATTCCTATAAATAAAACAGAATTCCTGATTTTGTGCTCTTCTCTTGATACTTATTCCTCATTTCAGTAAATGGCAATTCCATTCTTTCAGTCACTCAGGCCAAAAACCTAGAATCATTTTTGACTCATATCTTTCCCTCTCACTCCACATTGAAAGTGGCAGCAAATCCTGTTAACTCTCCCTTCAAAATATATCCGGAATCTCCCTTCAAATTATTGATGTTTTGAATCTCCCTTCAAAATATATCCTGAGTCCAACCATTTTTCACCACCTCCATAACCAGCTGAACTGATCTCCTGCCTGGACAAAGGCAATTGCCCCTAACTGTGTCAGCCATTGTTCGTCTGCAGTTATTCTCATGACAACAGGCAGAGTGATTCTTTCAACACATCACTTGGATTCTGATCCTCGTTTGCTCAAAACTATCAAATGGTCAAGATTTAGCTCCTTCACAGAGTAATTTGACAAGGTAACAATTGAGCAAAGATGGAAAGAGGGTAAGAAACAAACTATGTGGCTCTGAAGGACAAACACCCCAGGCAAAAAGAACAAGTATAAAAAGGGTTGATGCAGAAGTATGCCTCCATGTTCAGGAGATGGCAAGAAGGTCAGGATTACAGGAGCAAATAAGCACTAACATGGAACAAAGTCACCCAGAAACTCTCTCCTCGATGGTATGAGCAATTTCTAACCCCCTGGAGGATGTGCAACAACCATTCATAAAATTAGTGAATATGAAAATGGCTACTATGTCTATGTGGAGCAACTGTTAAGTCATTCCTGGGGGTATTGAGGCAAGCTTTTAAAAAGTACCATGGAATTCAAAGAGTTTGGGGAAGGGAGTTGGAGAGATGCTGATAAACCAAACTCAAGTTATTTCTTCATTTTCAGTGTATAAGTCAAACAACCTACCAATAAACAATAACCATTTCTACCTACTAGTGTAAAATGTCAACCTGTAAGTTAATTTTATATAATTTTTGTTGTTGTTAAGATGGGGTTTCACCATGATGGCCAAGCTGGTCTTGAACTCCTGACCTCAGGTGATCCACCCATCTCGGCCTCCCAAAGTGCTAGGATTACAGGCGTGAGCCACTGCGCCTGGCACATTTTTTTTATTTTATATAATTTTTTTTTTTTAAGGTGGGGCAACCTGTAAGTTAAAATGCAATTTCAAAACTTTTGGTTTGTTAAACTCAGTGGTGTGTGTGTGTGTATATATATGCCTGTTTTTTACATATACATACATATATAAACAACAACAAAAGTGAAATGTAGGATTTTAAAAGTTAAAATAACTCTTGTACATATAAGGTAACAAGAAAGATAATTACATATTTAGCACTTGGACTCATTTGAACTGCTAGTTATTTTAGTCCATGCACTGCATTTTAGCTCTTTTGCCCTATTTTAGTTTTTACAATATATTTTTATTCTACCAGCTATTTTAGACCAACATTCTTTTAAAAACTCTCAGATGATCCCTACTTTATTCCTTCACAAAATGTTGATCCTAGAATTAATATAAACTTTTGTCTATTGACAGCAGGCTGATTTATACAACTAATGTCATACTGAAAGAAATCCTGGTCCCAGGACTAATATAAATTTTTGTTTATCAGCAACAGGCTGATTTACACAACTAAATTCATAAGAAAAGAAATGATACTATGAAGGGAATTTGGGAACCATAAAAAGCACTTATGATTGCCAACTTTCAAGGCTACCATACATTCCTTATTTTGCCATTGGAAGAACAAAGAAAACTCAACACTTGTTTCTGACAGCACTGGAAATGCTGAACACTAAGACTCAAGAATT